GTAGTAGTAGTGGCGGTAGTAGTAGTAGTAGTAGTAGTAGTAGTAGTGGTGCTTCGTAATAGACATACCTAGGATTGCATAGGCGCCTGCAGACAACACTTTGGCTCTATCGTGAGTCAAGTTCACCGTGAGACTGAGAAGTTCAGCTTTGACGTATCGTAGCATCTCGAAGCCACCTTTGACTAGGTTTCGTGGTGGACGCAAACAGCCTCAGGACACTTGAGAGTCCGCCAGTCCCGCACCCTTTGCCGCGAGAAGTGGTAGTTGGTGCATGCAGGAGTGAAAATTTGCCTCCAAGAGGTTGCGGGCTGAGATGCCAACAATGGAGCCCCACTTCGCACTTTGATTTCATGAAAGCCAGCAGAAGTCTTCTGCCGGGACGGCAGCAGCTTTTGCTGCAGGCGGTGCTGTCATCGGAACTTCATCAACTGAACTCATGTGTTGCTCTGGGACGAAGGAGGCCGGACTTGTGGGTGAATGGGGGACAGGACATCAGAGGGGCTCCAAAGTGAGCGCCAAACTTGTGAACGACATTTCTCAGGACGGCACGGAATCTGATAATGCCTGTGTGTATCCTCGGATGTGCAGAATACTCCCCATAGCGGACAGTGATGGGGGGCCAGGGGCAAGAAAGAAAATGAATCAATTCTTGAAGGCAAGAAGTGAATCAGCCAGGCTTTGCACGTCGACATTGCTGAGCTCACGGAACTCAAGGCTCGTTTGCCAAGATTCAGCACATGATTCAGAAGTGTTATGAATGTCTCCCATCGCTTGCAAATCAGGCTGAGCTGCTGCAATTTGACGAGCAAACGCAATTCGACGTCAAAGAGTTTCGGCATCGCATTGCTGAGGCGCAATCCAAAAGTCATTTTGTTTCCCACCCAAGCAGAGACAGGCTGAAAAGGAGCTTCTGGGTCTTCTTCGCAGCAGCGCAGACTTCCGTTTGGAGGCCGACGAGTAGACAACCCGGGAGCACATAGGTTCTGCGTATCTTTGATGTCACTGCAGCGAGAGGTTGAAGATGCGGAATCGAAGTGGAAGGAGAGACAGGCATACAAGAAGGTAGCCTGACCGCACCACGCCAATTCGTTGCATGTGCCATTGCCATGACACGTAGAATGGAACACCAAGATTCTTTAGCTGTAATGTGTCGAGGTTTTGATAGACGCCGTGCAGCTGGTATTGCCCTCATGCTTTTTTGAAGAGTTTGTTGTGAGTGGCGAGGAAGGCGCCACTGTGGTATTTGGGCTTGTTAGTTTTCCGGGCTCCAAGAGCCTCATAGAATTACAACTGGAAACGAGGCCGTGGATTCTGCGAAACCTTCGGAGCCGATGGAGACTGCACCACAGGACAGCAGTTGCAGTGGCAGAATACATCAATATTGACGGCGTTGCTACCGGTGTGGGACCTACGGTGGATGGACACCATCCATGACCTGTAACACCAGAAGCTCACGACACGGAAAATGAGCAAGTGCCGCGTGTCCCTCTTACCTCAAGGTTGACAACAGACATGGGCGACATGATGCGACATGGGTCATGCAGGATGGGCAAGTCGTTTATGAAGATTTTGGGGACAAGAATGTTAAGATTCAGGGCTTGGAAGGGATGTGTGGCAAAAAAACTTCGAGGCAAGATCCTATCCATCCACAGAGGGAGCTGTTCGTCCCTCACAGCTTTCTTCTTGCTGCCAAAGTAGCGGTGCGGTCACATCCAGTCCACGGCAGAACTGAGTATTCAGGAGCTGCTGGTTGACTGCCGTGAGAAGTTCCTGCCTTACCCTGCAGATTGTTGAGGCAGCTCAGTCAACAGGAGCTTTGTGCTGAGACAAGTCATGTAAGACACCAGTGGCAGGTGTGTTGCAGTCCAACTCTTCTTTCGTGGTTCTTTGGTGGACGAGTGCTTGATTTTAGGATGTTGACAGTGCCTTCATGTGGGAGGTTGTGGCGGCTATTCTTATTGGCGTTGATGACAGAGGTTTCTTCAGGAATTGCTGCATTTGCTTTAATTACTGTTGGCCAATGTTACCGGGTTGTAATTGTCTGTTTTACTTATCCTTTTCAATTTGCCACGGGTTTGCTTCCTTGCCTGTGTCGTGCTCTGATTCGCAGACCGGCGATCAGATGCGAAGAGCACATAACATATTGCCTAGTGACACGACATGTTCGCTGGGCCTTCATAGGTCCAAACGATAAAAAGGTTGCCTCGTGCCCCTTGCTGCCCAAACTTACCCTGGACATGCCTCTGAGATGAATGCGCTTGCATGCATGTGCGTACGTGCATGCCGCTGGAGCTACGCCAACATACGCCAACGCTTTTGGGCAACATGCAGTAAGAGATGCTCGTGCAAGTGAGCGCTTGCTCGGAAAATGAGATGGTCATCCGCATGCAGTATCACCGTTTGGGAGAATGCCTCCTACAGAGCCGAAAGTGCGATTGAGAGCATCCAGTCAATTCGCGCGGCTTGTGTGACGCTAGAAAGCACAAAGACGTTCTGAGCATGCCAGGCTTCCCGAGGGCCATCTTTTGTAGTTTAAGGCTACGAATGTTAACCAAGGCTCGTGGATCCAGGGAAGTTCGCATCATTGCGCGTATTGCGCGAGCAGCGTGTGCGGCTTGCGTCGCGCGCAGTGATCTCTCAGTCCTACTGTTAGAGAGCAGGCTTCTGAAGTTGTCCACGTTCTGGTTGCTCTTCTTTCCAAATTTACAGCCCGTCCTTCTGGATGGACAAGTTGTAGTGCATGAGGCCCCCCCCTGTAGATAGATCAACCGAACGCTACTGACATGCAGCAGAACAATAATTGTTTGGTAGCAGAAGACAGCTGCACAGCTCGGCTATGCAAATCTTGCCTCCGAGGCTTCAACGATTGCAGATTGAGATTTTGGAAGAGGAACGGAGGCGCCAGGCCCGCCGTGGGACCCGAGTGGTAATACTAGCATAGACTTCTGAGTTTTTTTGGGCTCTGGGTCTAGGGAATGTGTTGCCCTCCGAATGTAGCTGCTGTGATGCCGAAGCCAAGTCCATGCACTGACTGCCCTTGAAGAAGATGCCCCTGTATCGGTGCGCACAGAGCCGTCTCACTTCAGTCTGTAGTCTGTGCATTCTGACCAGGCGCGGTCCGCAGAGCCGGAATCTGAGCATGGGCACTTAGTGAATGCAAAGGCTCACAGCAGATCTGGCCCATATGGCCAATTCATACCAACTCCAGAACACCCTGATTCGTCCCTATTCGCCTTAAGTGACATTCTGGTCTGTGTGATTTGCTTTATAAGCGGCACTTTTTTACGTGCATGCAGGTTCAATGAGCTTTGTGAAGACATCGCAGAGCTCAAAGAGGTGAGCTCTGCCAGTGGGGCTTAGCATGTGCTGCCATCTGCAAGGGTCGCCATCTCGAAGTGACCCCAGCTTTGACATAGACTGCTGTAGATGTAGCGCCTTAGTGACTAGCATTAGTTCGTTGGTGAACGTTGGGTACTTCGACAGGTGAAGCAGAGGGCCATGCTGCAGCTGCAATCTTTTCTGGAGCTACGTGAGCAGCAACGGTGGGGAGCTTCGCATGTAGCAGGTGACTGTGTGTCACTGTGTGTGCTGTTGCAAGGCAGGGGAGACTCAAAAATGCCGTCGCGCAGCTAATGCCTTTGGCACCGGTTGACTTGAATCGCCTCTTGGCTGCAAGAGATAGCTCCGTCCAGGCAACCTACTTCCGGCTTATTTTCAACCCAAATCCCATGGCCCGGCCGGTAGCTATTTGATTAAGAACGTGTTGTGGTGCAGTCAGTCTATTGTGGCACGGACCTGCAGCAGCCTGCGATGCGAGGAGGGAGTTCCGTTCTTATCAGTCATTTGCCATGTTGTGTTCCCCCATGCATGTGTCTGTTTGCTGTTCCGCGGGTCGTACATGTCTGAGGCTTTCTGGAGGCTGTGCTCTGAAGCCAGGAGCGCGCACCAGACGCAAGAAAAAGTGCTTTGCGGCTCGTCTGCCTACAAGCCCGTCGCGTGTTTCTCAAAATGTGGGAAATCATCTGCAAGAAGCCCTGGGTCTTTCAGAAAGGGTGACCACTGTGCTCTTGGCTACCTCAACTTGGTCGCGCATCAGCATAGGAAGACATCAGATTTGTGAGTGGCAAAACCCAAAAGGATTTGAGTGGACTTACGTGCATTGTTAGCGCAACGTCCAGTTAAATTCGAACATCCTTGTACACAATATCTCAAGAATGCCGAAGCTAGCTGAGGGCTATTGCAGCAACTCAGAGGGTCTCATGGCGAAGCAGTAAGTGACGAAAGAACACATAATCACCGGGATACCGAAATGCCTTATGCCTTCCATGCCAGGGCTGGAGACAAAAATCGCTAGCATTCCATTGCCTGCTGCATAGCAATGGAGTACCAGTACTGGTACCAATTGCAGGCACTGCAGGAGACCCAGTATTTGCAGCAATCCCTCCCTTCTTTGAGTTTGAATCCACCTGCCAGGCAGGCCAGCATATGGCCACTCAGTTGTCTCAGCTCAACTGGTTCGTGCACCTGGCATGCTTCCAATAACTGACGAACTAGCGGTCCTGCATTTGCATGCGTTGTTGCTGAAAATGCTCCTTTTGGTGTGGGAGGGTTACGGGCGCACACGCTGTAGTCGCGACCCTCGACTTCGGTCGTCCAGCGCTGAACGCTCGGAGTTCAAAGGCGATCTTCGTCCAAAATCGGTCCCAAGCTGTGGTCGCATTCGCTAGCTCGAGGACAAATTCACAAACCTCAAAAACAACCCAGTGTGTTTCTTGAAAAGATCCACCGGGGTCCGGCTCAGCGTTGAGCTGAGAGTCCTTGTATGGTGTGCATACATGGTGGAGGGTGGTGAAGGAGTGTTTTGAAAAATACTGCATACCCGTTCTCAAGCCACCTGTCAAGCCCTATGCTTTCGTCAGGTCACGAACCGCGTAGAAGTTTTGGAGCAGGCACGCCTGGCAATGACTGCCCGGTGCGTACTCGCGTATGCGGGTATTCCACAACCTTTGCATCCATTCGCCGAGAAATTCCTGCAGTTGTAGCTTGCGGTGTCTTGCAAAGCAGGGTAGTTTTCTATAGCCCCCCGAATTCAATGCTGACGATGCTAACGGCCTGTAAATGCCAGGCCCGGAAAAAGATTCGTGCTTGTGGAGCCCCGCCCTGTGGATCAGGCAGAAGACACGTTGACCCAGCACGAGGCCCACCCGTGGATGGTGCAAGTTACAGTAGCGCAAGTTGAAAGATTCTATGACTTCTTGAGGCTCCCACTCTAGTACTCTTACTCCACCACTCTCCCAGTCTCTTACTTTCTTGGGGGGAGGGTTGACGGCCGCGGCCGTTGTGGTTGTGGTCTGGTGGGAGGAGAATCAGCGGCCGTGGCAGGGCTGCAGTGGCGGTGACCATGGTGGTGATGGTCGGGGGGGTTATGTGATCAATAATAATGTCACGTTGGGGCGTGTGTTTTGGTTAGAGATACGGCTAATGGAGTCCCATAGACTAGTACCTTTTATAGGAAGTCTCCGAATCAGCAGTGTGGAGCGTGGTGGCAAGTGGTGCGGCGGTGGGGAAGCACATTCCCCTTGTCAACTTCCTTCTGTTGTGCAGACATTTTTGGCCAGCACATCAAGCATGATTGAAATTACTTGGAGCATGTGTTCGGACAAGAGTTTGCAGGCACTGATTAGGGATGCAGAAAAAATCATCGAGCGGCTCAACGAGGCGCTGAAGGGCTCTTCTGTCAAGCCTGAATACCATTGGATATGAAATAGTTGTTCCTGTTTTTCACTAGCAGGATTTGTAGCACCCTTCTTGGGGCGATGGACGTGGGCACCCAAATCCGTTCGACAAGGGGTCGAATATTGAAGCCCAGCATTGCGATTTTCCAACGGTCGCAGATCCCTGACTGCTGGCGAGGCAAAAAGCAGCGCTGAGTTTTGAGGCCAGCAGGTTGTTTCGCTTATGCCAGCTTATGCCTGCCAGCCTTTAAACAGCCTTTGGAAGTTTAGAGCATAGGATGAAAAAGGTTCCAAAGTTTAAGGTCTAGGTTTCTAGGGCTTTGGGTTCGAGAGTTTAGAGTGCTCAAGAGTTTAGAGTTTAGGATTCCAGGGCTTAAGGTTTAGGATTCTAGGATTGAGGGTTTGGGAGTGTCGCGTTTAGGATTCTAGGTTTTAAGTTTTAGGATTCGAGGGCTTAGGATTCTAGACTTTTGGGTTCGATAGTTTAGAGTTTTCAATTCTAGGGTTTAAGGTGGAAGATTTTAGGGTTTAGTGTTGGAGAGTTTAGAGTTCAGGATTCTAGGGCTTAAGGTTTAGGATTCTAGGGTTTAGGGCTTTGGAGTTTAGAGGTTAGGATTCTAGGGTTTAAGGTTTAGGAGTCTAGGGTTTAGGGTTTGAGAGTTTAGAGTTTAGGATTCTAGAACTTAAGGTTTAGGATTCTAAGGCTTAAGATTTAGCATTCAAGGGCTTAGAGCTCGAGGGTTTTTAGTGTAGGATTCTGGGGCCTAAGGTTTAGGATTCTAGGGTTTAGGGTTTGAGAGTCTAGAGTAGCTTAGGCTTCTAGGGCTTACGGTTTAGAAGCCTAGGGCTTAGGACTGGAGAATGTAGAGTTTGAAATTATAGTTCTTAAGGATGAGGATTCTAGGGCTGAGGGTTTGAGAGTTAGAGTTTAGGTTTCTAGGGTTTGAGGTTCAGGATTCTGGGGTTCAGGGCTCGAGAGTTTAGAGACTAGGACTCTAGGGCTTAAGGTTTAGGATTCTAGGGTCTAAAGTTTAGGATTCGCATTCGAAGGCTACAGGCTTATGATTCTAGGGCTTAGGGTTTTGGATTCTAGGGTTTTGGGTTTGAGAGTTTCCAGTTTAGGCTTCTAGGGTTTGAGGTTTGGGATTCAAGGGTTTAGACCTCAAGACTTTCAAGTTTAGGATTCTAGGGCTGAGGGTTTGAGAGTTTAGAGTTCAGGATTCTAGAGTTCAAGGTTTAGGATGCTAGGGTTTAGGGCTTGAGAGTTTAGAGTTTGGGATTGTAGGGTTCAAGGTTTAGGGTTACACAGTCTCACTGTGGTGGAGATCTGCGGTTGATAGGCATTTGGGGCTTGGGCTTTGGAAGCTTGGAAGGCCAGGTCCCGGAAAAGTTCTGATGACTATTTACTTCATGCAGGGCTCCTTTCAATCAGGAGCTGCGCACATTTATGCAGTTGCGTTTGCCTCCAGCGCGTATTAGGATCCTACGTGTGTGCCATGTCACCGCCCTTGAATAGTGAGGCTCCGTTTGCCTCATGCTAGGCCACCGGAAGGGCTGAGTCTAGTAGATAAAGTATTGCGCAAGTCTGTAGTGAGTTTGGACTACGTCATCAAAATGCAGAAGGAAGGAATTTGATCCAAAGCCTGCAAGTTGATTTCGCAGCCTCATGCAAGCTGCCAAGAGTACAGAGTAGGTTGGTGAATTCCTTGCTTGGGGGGTCCGGGGTATCGTAGTCCCATCTTGTCGCCACATGCAGCCAAAAGCGCCTTGCGCACCACGGCCCAGGCAGGAACACAACCTGATGCAATTTTGCCGGATGGAGCAGCGCCCCCAACTTTCGGGTTGCAGATGGTCACATGTGAATGGAGTGTCATTTGCTGCAGGCCATCTGCTGCCAAACCAAGTAATTCATGTAATCCAGGTGTTCCGCAGGCTGCGCATGCAGCTGGGTTTGCCTCCTAGGAGTATTAGGATCCTAAGTGTGTGCCCCGTCACACCCCTTCAGTTGTCAGCTGCATCATCAATGATAGCCTGCTACTGGTAGAGCCATCTAGTAGATGAAGTATTGCGTAAGTCTGTAGTGAGTTTGGACTACG